CTGTCATATTAATGATTCCCTGCTGCTGTCTGATGGGAAGTTCAGCTAATCTTACATGAAGGGATCACAGTCTTGTGCTGCGGTGTGATTCAACCCCAAATATAGTTTATATCAGTGCCAGGTTACTGTGTGAAAGAGGAAGAGTCCTGCTTTTGTCATGTGATGTTTCTGACATGATCCCAGTGTGAGCTGTCAGTCTGAAACACACTGACCTCCAGACAGAGTAAAGGTCTACAGTATGGAGTGATCAGAGGAGTTACATGTAGTGCCTGTAATGTCAAATTATTTTACTACATTGATTCAATAATTCCAGCTCTTTTGAAGCTTCCTTGTGTGAGGGAGGAGTTTTAATCCCAGATGACCTGTACATGGATAAAATGATCATTAAATATCACTGAGCTGGGATATGAATATGTCAGTGACTCTCAACCAGGAGTACTCATACCCTTTAAAGTACTTTTGTAGTTGCCAGGCAGTACAGAGATTGTGGTGTAGTGCCACTTTGAAAAAATAGAAATTATGATTTAATGAAATATGTCCACATATTTGTATTTTGGAGGCTCATCCACATGAAAGTAGGGTCCCAAATTTGTGACACTGATCTTGGGCAGTAGCTCAGGGGGCAGCAGTACCTCAGTCCACAGGGATTTGGTTTGGAAATTGGAGAGTTGCCGGTTAAAGTCAAAAATTAGGCTACACGGAAATGACCCATGGTTATTTTTTAACTTTTTAATTTGTATTTATCATTGTTGAAAGCCTAAAGTGATTCTTACATTATCCAATTGTCAAAATGTGTAACCTATAGGCCTACAACAAGTTAAAAAAAATGTTTAAACATTTCGGCAACTAAAATGGCCTGGCGTCTTTTCTCTAAGTTTTGCCGAACATCAAGAGCGATGGCTTGTCTTGAGTTTCCTGAGCAAAGCTAGCCGTGGATTTCAAATCTAGAAAGATAAAGTCTTAAATAGTGCATAGACAGATTTGATTACTTTCACTGCAAGATACCAAATATTCATAAATACTTAACTGTGGAGTAGCCACCTAATTTTAAAACATGTTTAACAGAGGGGTGCTAATTTAGACTTAATAAGGCTCTGTTGCTTTTATTATGAGGCTCAAATATATTTTGCGGCTCCTCTGGTAGTAAAGGTTGCTGACCCCTGTCTTAGATCATAGCAGTAACATGTATGAATTTTGAAATCGGGCGTAGTTCCCCTACCAGGATGACTCTGACTTGTGCGACAGTATTCAAAATGTGTGTTTTTGTGATTGCAGGGCTCAGACCATCATGAAGGCTCGGCTGAAAGGGGCTCAAACCGGCCGCAACCTGCTCAAGAAGAAATCTGACGCCCTCTCCATGCGTTTCCGTCAGATCCTCCGCAAAATTATTGAAGTCAGTTGTTGTTCCGCATGCCTTTACTTCTTTAATAACTGTGAACTAATGGTTTTCTAAAGGTGGACTCCTTGTCTTGTTTCCTCAGACTAAGACTAAGATGGGAGAGGTGATGAGAGAAGCGGCCTTCTCTTTGGCTGAGGCCAAATTTACAGCTGGAGACTTCAGGTGAGAATGAGAGAAAGAGGACGTGATGTGGCATTATGATCAGCTCAGACGCATCTATAAAACTCACATCTGTAATTCTGTCTGCAGCACAACTGTAATCCAGAATGTCAACAAAGCCCAGGTGAAGGTCCGAGCCAAGAAAGACAACGTGGCAGGTCAGCATCAAAAAATATTATCTTTATACTTTTCACAATCACTGTTAAAGAGACAAGTTCTTATACACATGATTCCCTTGTTGTTTCAGGTGTCACCCTTCCAGTTTTTGAGCACTACCAAGAAGGCGGAGACAGTAAGTCACGTTTAATAAGATAGTTTTGGGGATTAATGAGTGAAGGAGAGTCCTCACACTCACTGTGTCCTCCAGGTTATGAGCTGACTGGTCTGGCCAGGGGAGGAGAGCAGCTCTCCAGGTTGAAGAGGAACTATGCCAGAGCTGTGGAGCTGCTGGTGGAGCTGGCCTCCTTACAGGTAGGGGGCATTGTTAGGAAATGTTATTTTAGTGAAATATGAGACAAAACTACAGCAGTTTCTCTGTATTTTCAGTAAAAAAAATTATCATAACTATGAAATTCAGACTCATATTTTCCCACTTCCTGTCTGTAGACATCTTTTGTCACTCTGGATGAAGCCATAAAGATCACCAACCGCCGTGTTAACGCTATTGAGCACGGTAATTTCACACTAAACATACAGTGTTGTCTGTTACAGAATTACAAAGACTGTTATTAAAGCTCTTACTTATCTTTCGTTGCAGTGATTATTCCTCGCATCGATCGCACTCTTACCTACATCATCACAGAGCTGGACGAGAGAGAACGAGAGGAGTTCTACAGGTGAGAACATAAATCCCATTTTATTTATCTTTTAATTTCTACCTTATTTTTGTTTTAACGCTGATTATATTTCTCGTCTGCCAGGCTGAAGAAGATCCAAGAGAAGAAGAAGCAGCTCAGGGAAAGGACAGAACTGGAGATCGCAGCTCGCTTGGCTGAACTGGGTCCCATCGCGGAGCCCACCAACATGCTGACGGAGGAGACGGATGAAGACCTGCTGTTCGAGTGAAGCGCTCCAAAAGGCCTCACCCCAACCTCCTATTTATTCTGTGCCTCTCAGGCCATGTCCATGTCTCCTCATGCAAGTGATGGATTTTTTTTGTGTACTCGTCTGTGATGATTTGTTCTATTGTTTCAGTGCGTGTTTCCAGATATGTCACTGTACAGAACCAAAGTGTCGTCACACTTGGCTGCTCACCCAAAAGGCCGCCAGTTCACTATTATGAAATAATCTAATAAGAGTATAAGTATGTTTACACATGGTTTGTGAGTGAAATAAAAGAAGCATTCTGTGTGACTGATCAGCTTGTAGATATTCCTCCCAACATTCAGAGCCATTGCATGCTGTAAAGCTTAGAGGGTGACTTTGGTGTTTTTCAACCTGGATCCTATTTTACCTTTTTTTTGTGTCTGAGTGATTCATAGAGACAGCTGTTTTTGAAAACTGGAAGTATTGAGTGCGACGCGAAACAAGCTGCAATGTAACGATAACTGGACAATAGCACACTGTCGATTTACGTCCACTGAAAGTGCTTGTTTTTGCCACTGACAGGCTTGTCTGTCTTGTATGGAAAGGATCCCTACAGAGATAGACCCATTTTTAAAGAGGAAGTTACTTTTTGTTTAACCAGAAACAGCCCCAAAATTGCTATCCCCAAACCCACCAGACTCCATTTAAACAAACAGCAATTTTTATCATCACAAACTCACAAAAGCTGTCTTGACTCGTCTTTCAACTGTTCCTACAATCACCGGCTTGCTTGAAATAAACCCTTAATTCACCCAGTTACATGTGAAGACATGCTGACTCTACACACGCTAAAATTACTGTTTATTTAAATGGAGTCTGGTGGGTTTAGCGATAGCAATTTCTGGACTGTTTCTGGCTGAACAAAAAAAGGTCAGTATCAGTAAGATCAATCTCTGTCGGGATCCTTTTCATAACGTTATCAGACATTTAGAATACTAATCCGAGCCTGTCAGAGGCAAAAACAAACACATTTGTTGCTCACACCTTCCAAGTGTTTACACTGCAGCCTGTTTCACTGCTGCGGGCTGCAACGCTCTTTTTCAATGCTGGACCAGTTTCGAAAATTGTTCCCATTTGTCACTTAGACACAAAACATGGAAAAAAGAGTCCAGGTTGAAAAACACCAAAGTTGCGATTTAAGTTGGCTGTAGATTTCAGAGTGTGAGTGTGTTGTGGAGGTTGTTGTTGTTACCTCATCTGAAGATGTTTACCATTGCAACACAAAACCCTGAAGTGACCCCACTGTAAAACACGGTGTGCAAATCAACATAGCCCCACACGTCATCCAAATAAAGATGTTATCGATATCTAACCACTGTCTGGATCTCTTGTTAGATATAAGATATAATGTTAGATATGTTACATGTTGCAACAGTTAGTATTGAAAATGCCTCTGATGCTGCCTAAAATGCTGGATTGGATATCGGTGAGTATGCTGGTCCAAGGATGATCTGATACTAGGGCTGCGACGATTAGTCGACTAATCGACTATTAAAATAATTGGTGGTAATAACTGGTTTGAGTCATTTTTCATAGAAAAGTACTATAAAAGTACCCCAAAATACTCTTATTGCAGCTTGTTACGTTCAAATATTGGCAGCTTTACACACTATCTCATGACGGTGAACTAAAACCCTTTGGCGTGAGTACGAAACAAGACATTAGATGGCATAATTTTGGGGTTTGGGAGAGACAGACCGACATTTTTCAACATTTTAACACATTTTTTGATAAAATGATTAGTCGACTAATCAAAGAAATAATCGACAGATTAGTCGATGATGAAAATAATCGTTAGTTGCTGCCCTATCTGATACACTGACACACACACAATTTATTAATAAACTTAAATGTAGTTTCACACTCGTATAAAACAAGTTTTCCCAGGAATCAATTCTTCCTAACCGCTTTAAAATGGCGGCCTACACAGCAAGATGTCAGCAATACTGGCAGTGGAAAGCCGCATCAATAAAAAGGCAACATGCTCAGTATGCAAGGCTTTAGTTTCAGGGTTAGTAGTATGCAGCTGTTAATTTTTTTAACCAATGGTATCGATCCGTACTTAGTATTGGCTGATGCGCAAGTTCAGGTATCGTAATTGGTACTGGGAAGACAAAAATGGTATCAAAATATCTATACTTATAGTCCCATGTGTGAAGATACAGAGGACTGGGAGACTGCTGGGATCAAATTACTTTCAGTCACCAGCTCCGGGAGGAATGGCAGCCATCTTACATCACAATGTTACATTTAACACATTATTTTTAGCTTCACAGGGGTTGAGTTAGTACACATTTGTTTTGCAACATCAGTATTAAGAACCCATTAAAAATGATGCAATGTATTCACCACTTCATATCATGTATCTGATTTTATTAACACTGTTCCAGAGTTGTGCTTATGATTTAACAAGTACCCTGCAAAGAAGCAAAACTGTAATTGTTGGAGTTACACTAACTGACGAGATGTTTTTTTTTTTCTTACAATACTGGTAAAAAAAATCCAACAGTCTCAGCAGCACTTTGCAGCCTGATATACTGACTAACGATAACCAGCTAGAGACAATACTGATTTGAGGTCTGTTATCACAGCGTAAATGAGACATGAGACGACACAAAATACTGACACTGGTGTGGAGGACGTACCTCGAAACTGTGCAGGTTACAGCAGATTCTTCTTCTGTGGTTTCTGAATGGAAGACGTTACACCGCAGTGCTCCTCTCCTGTTTGGTTTCTACAAAGCTTTTGGTTTACTGCCTTTTAATTGTGACGATAACACTCTGCCAGGTGAGTGTCCGTTTCGTATATCACAAACAAACAAAATGTAACAATAAAATATTTTATCCTTTCGTCTAGAAAATATATATTTACAATTATAAATAACTATTAAGAACTGGATAGAAACATTTCTATGTGTTTGATACTTTGCATAAAACTGAGATCAACAATAAACAGAGAAAAAGAACTCACAGAGACACACACACAGTCAACGAGAAGAAAAGTAAGAAACTTGAGTCCATCCCTGCGTCACGCGATAAAGATCACCTCTTCTATAAACGAGGAGAATGTGCAAGTGAAAATCCAGTGACAACCAGCACTGTCCATCCTTCATCTTTCAAACTCCAGGAACATTCATTTCTGTTTGACTCCTCCTACCCTGAGGCTCCCTGCGTTGACACCCCATGACCTCTAGCACAGCCAGGAGGTGGGCACCCACTGTGGCTCAGTGTCCAGCTTGTCTATCAGCCTGCGCAGCTCGCTGAAAGCCTGGTCCGGATCCATGTTCACGATGGTTGCATCGAAGAAGTGGCCATAATTGTGCTCCATCTCGCGGGCCTTTTCGATGACCTCCTTTAGCTCCTCGGGCTGTGAATAGAAAATCAGACATTGTTTTTAAGACTGTGGAGACTCTTCTGTAGTCACTATGCTGTAGTGACATAATTCTAAGCTCATTTTTTAAATTCTATTTTAATCATGAATATTTTGGATGTGTTCAGAAATACATACAACCTACTGCCTATTAAATGAATGATTAGGTATGCCTTTACCAACAGACTGGTCACACTGAAGTAGTCAAGCAACATGACTGAATCACATGACTGCGGATGGTCTGAACCTGCCAGTGTCTCTCACATCTCCAAAAAAAGTCACAGCAAATTTTCAAACAGGTGTTGTTTGGGTAAACTGGCTTCTGTTTCAGAGCGGCAAAGAATTTATTTCTGGGAAAAACAGTTTGGGTGTGAAACTACTTCAAAGTTAGTTAGACAGACTTGCATACTTGCTGATACCTGATCCAGCATTTCAGGCAGTACTGGAGGCTGACACTGATATCAGTATCAGAACAACTCTATCCAGTGAGCTCACGTCTCATACTCGCAAATTCTTGTAAATAAAATTCACATACTATGCAGTGTAAACACATCACATACTTTATTCATTCATTTAATTTCAATTTTCTGTAACTGCTTATCCTGTTTGGGGTCGCCGGGGGGCTGGCGCCTATCCCAGCTGACATTGGGCGAGAGGCAGGGTACAACCTGGACAGGTTGCAGGACTATCACAGAGCTGACACATAGAGACAGACAACCATTCACACCTATGGCCAATCTAGAGTCGACAATTAACCTGATGTTAATGTCTTTGGATTGTTGGAGAAAACCTGCATTAACATTTAACATGCAAACTCCCCCACCCCAGGGTTCAAACCAGGAGCCCTCATGCTTCTTGATTTGTTCATTGTGATAGCTGTGCTCTCTTTATCTATTGATTATTTCATTATGTGAAGTGATGCAATATTGTTAACAGTGTACTTTGTATTTAAAGGGCCAGGAGTAAACAATCACTTTTTACTATTTCTGTCCCAATAAAGACCCTGTGAAGGTGAAACTGGACTCAAAGCTTTTATATATATATGTTTCCTTGTTTTGCCCCAGAGTGCCAAAAGAACATTTCTTTTCTGTGATGAATCCTAAATGCTTCCTTTTTGCTTTAATATGTTGCCTTTATTCTGCAAATAACTGCATGCACAATGTACAAACTTCTATAGGTAAAACACTGTACACACTGAGTACCTTTGGTGTTTTCCCCTCTGTGGCCAGCAGGGTGCGTAGTCGTTCCTGAGAAGGAGGAGCGATGAAGATGACATATGGCTTGAGATTGGAGGACCTCAACACCCGCAGTGACTGACGAGAAAGAACAGAGACACACAAATATATGTCATGTGAGACCAATACAACTAAAAGATAGGACTCAAAATATACAATTACATAAAACACAATCTGAGATTTATGTTCACGATATGACAAGGTGTAATTATGTTCTGTCCAAGCCACAGTGGTTGAAATCAAGACAGAGGGATAAATGTGCTTTGTAATCAACATGTTAGACAGTGCTCTGCTTCCTACCCTGGTGTGCAGGCAGAGCAAACAGATGCGTCCAGAGTTGATGACGTGTCGCACTGAGTCGGTGCTGGTGCCGTACAAGTTCTTCTCATATTCCCCCGACTCAATGAACTTCCCCGTCGCCAAGTCGGCTTCAAAGGCAGACCGGCTCACAAAATGGTACTCGCGCCCATTCCTCTCGTGTATCCTTGAGTTTCTGGTTGTGTCTGAGCCATGACAGAGGATAAATTAATTTGACTTAGTTTTTTATATTTGAGAATTTGTGCAGTCACAGTTGAAGAGGGGTCATGTTATAAGTCAAAACCGAGACCACATGTACTTGGACTTACGAGGAACAGCAACGGCAAACTTTTCTGGCTCGAGGGCCAGAAGCCTCCGGCGCAGCTCATCATGACCGCTGTTCGTTGGACCAATCAGAGAGATGGGGCGTTTACGATTGGCGGGCTGGTGATAAAGCGACATCTCCTCATATGTCAGGATGTCATCGTAGTCTGAAGAGACAGTTGAGCAGGGATTAAACAAACAACCTTGACTAACATACTAAATCCTTTCTAGCTGTCAGGCTGCTGTTCTGTAACTAACGCTGACCTTTGACCTCTCTGTAGAGGCAGGTGAGAGGTTAAAAATACCACACTGTTATATTATCATCCCTGTGTTTGTGTGAACGTCTTGTTGTGTGTCTTATAACAATGTCCTGCTTCATATCCGACCATCTCATCCACACATGAAATCACAGTCTGCTTCTGTCGGCCCCTGAGCAGCTCCACTAAAGCCATGTGTGTGTCTGTCTGAGTACATGTATGTTTCTTTGTGTTAACCAACAACATCACACATCCTTTCAAGCCAATTTAGGCACCTGCTGGGCACCTGTTGGTGCCTCCTCTGATCCCGTCTGTGAAGACAGGACTAATCTGACCTGTGACACACCGAGTCTGGACAAGCTGCCGCGAGAGCAGAGGAACATGTCAACTCCGGCCAACTTGTAGACACTTGGAAGCTGCCCAGGATAGAGGCAGTCTTTGACTCGTGTTAAACGAGACGTGACAATTGGAGTTTTGTGGGTTAAAGGAGTAGCTTCTCAGCGGTGGTTGGAGGAAGAGAGAGCACATTCCTAAACCAGCAAACCCACTTCCCAAAATGTTAAGCTCTGAAGAGACAGACACAAAAAGTGGAGTCTTACCAGAATTCTTGCTCAAGGTAGACGTGCTCTTCTTCCTCTGTTTCTTGCTTTTCTTTGCATACCAAAGCTTCCCTGGAGACATGACAAGTCAAAAGTGTTTGCTTTAAAATGGGGTTTTATCATTTCGCTTTGTTACAACCATCTAGACACCACAAGCTCTGTGTGTGAGTCAGGGAGGAGGCAAAACATTTGTGAATTATATTATTTTCTCACCACATCGTGTGTGTTTCCACATCTCACATTATCTCACCTTGGTGCTCTCGACTCCTGTCTGTTATAGTTTTCTTCAAGGTCTCTCTCTGTTGCTGGAACATTTTCCCTGAGGAACAGAAAAGCAAAGATAAGCAGCTATCCAACACTGCAAATTTAGATGCACAAATGGTGTATTTTTTATTTCAAATGCTCTTATTGAAATAAAGATGTGCGTTGTAATGGATCTGAACATGCACAGTTGTACGTGCTGGAAAGCTGCACTCAGGATCTGAACATTGCAAACACTGCCAGTGAGTCCAAAGCTTTTCAAGGCCCAGAACTGTTTTTCATAATCTTCCTCGTCTTTTGTGTCGAGGAAAAGGCAAAAATAAGAGCTGCTTTCCATTTCCAGTGCTTAACCTCATTTTCTTCCAGCCACAACAGACGTGGGTCAGAGAGTAATCGCAAATAATTCTCAGGTGTTTGTTTTAATCTGCTTGACGTGCCAGATGGGTGGTGTTTGCTGCCAGGGTAGTAGTGCCAGGTTTGTTATTAGTCACAGACAACTTTCAAGTCCTTTACTGTGGCTGTATCAGCGAGTACTGCTGGGGTTGGAATTAATAATCAGCTTGGCAACACATCATGAGATGTCCTGTGTAGTTCATAGTAGTGTAGTTTGATACACTGGTATCAATTTATGTTTCTTTTATGTGTGTTAAGTAGATTAATTAAATTTACTACTTTCTGGCAGTTCAGTCTTTTGCCAGCTTCACTACACAATGCTGTTTGTCTGTTACAAGGCTGTTAATGATGACTGCAGGGAATTAATTAACTCGAGAAGGCTTTAATACAGCCTATAAAATATGTGGATGATATGGTTTGGTGAGATTACACTTAGGTTTTAAATGTTTCTATGCTGGTATGGGAAATGTTTTAAATATTCAAATTATTCTGCTCATTTTTGAGCCGTGTGAAAATACCAAATGCTAAAGACATGCTTACGAATGATATTCAACTGAGGGGCGGCTGTGACTGAGGAGGTGGAGCGTGTTGTTCACTAATCGTAAGATTGGCAGTTTGATCCCCAGCTCCTCTGGTCTGCATGTGTCGCTGTGAGAGTGCGTGTGAATGTTTAACTGAGTAGCAGATGGTGGCCAGTGCGTGTGTGAATGAGTGAATGTGACATGTAGTATAAAAGTGCTCTGAGTGGTCAGAGGATGAGAAAGGTCCAACTGTGTGATCTGAGAGTGAACATACTATAAAACTGTTGGTACAGAGTGTTGTAGTTTAGTGAGAACATGATGCAACAACATATATAAACCCATAATTATACATTTACCATACCTGTTTAAGTTTCTTCTAGATTCTTTGTACCGTTGTTCTAATATGTCCTTGCAGTTTATATCTGCCTTTGTGAATCCAAAAACTACATATTGATATTCGGCCCTGGTCTGATCCTTACCTGGAACGAGTCCAGCCAGAGGCTGGTTGTCCTCATCTCCGTCCCTGTAGGCCTGCCACCAGTTGGGATCGTCCTGGCTGATGACATGGAGGATGTCTCCCTTCTGGAAGGACAGGCCCAGCTCCCGACACGGCACGAAGGGGTCGTCGGAGGGGTCGTAGTCGAAGTAAGCTCGTACGTGCATCTGAGGACAGGGTTTACAATGTCAAGGTTAGCGTCGCATGCATGCAGACGGGCGTCCTCACGCACGCACACAGCCACATTATCAGAGACTTACCACAGTCTGTCTGTGCGGGGCAGGTTTAATCTGAGAGCTCGGGATGAGGAGGAAGGTCAGAGTGCCGTGCATTTGTTGCTGATAGAAAAGATGAGGAGCAATGAATAAAACATTAAAGGAATCAAATTTCTATGACTGTATTTATCAAGGACCCCAAACTTTTACCAGTGTTTACTGCTATGCTACGTTAACTGTATATTACAGAACCAGACACTCCAAGTATGATTACCATTTATGATTGAATTATAATTCCTTTTATAGCAGTTAATGTACTTAATTTTAGCTTTCAAAATATCTGAAGCACCTATATTTACGCTGTAACAAAGTTAAATTACAATGAGTTACTGTAAATATTAAAAAGACCATTGTACAGCTCTCAGTCCTCACCAGTAAATCGTGTACTTCATTGACATGTTTCCCACGAATGGAAACCCCGTTGATCTCCAGGATCTCATCTCCCTCACTGAGAAGGCCGCTCCGCTCTGCTGCTCCACCTTTCACTACACGACTCACCACTACACTGTCCATGTCGTTACGTACTGTTGCACCCTGTTGGCCCCACACACACACACACACACACACACACACACACACACACAGAGGTCATACACTTTAGATGGCAGAGATCTCACTAAACAAGCAACACACTGGATAATTAATATGTACATGAACTGAAACACATCAAACCCTGATACTCTCTAAAATAACAGAGATACAAACAGAAGGACACAGTTTGAGGTCAAAGAAATATGTCATCATACATTGAGCACCATTGTGTCACTGCCTGGCAATGTTTTTAAATCTCCCTCTGGAGCTGACAGGCATTTTACTGCCCTGTTGGTTTGTGGGTGCACTGACACCGGCACACCCACATGATAAATGTGAGTGGTGGCGCATGTTAAAGGCTGAGAGGACAGGCTTTTTTACTGGACTGACACATAGTACACACACTTAATAAATAACACAATAACATGAATACTTGAAGGAACACTTCACCTCCAAAATGATCATGTGTATATCCATCAATGTTACGTTGAATTTATGAAGAAAACTGTTGTTCTTCTTACATTTCTCTGCGCTGAACAAAGAATCCAAAAACGGCGAAAAGTCTTGACAAATTTAAGTCATGAGGGGGCCACAACAGCAAAATGATATCAAAACATCTGTTTACAAACTCTCACACAATTTGTGCTATATAATCTAAATCTCAATCATCCAATCGTATGCTCAGGACCTTTCAAACAGACAGAACTTTCTGACAGGGAACTGAACTGAAAGTAAAACTTATCTGTGCTTTCTTCAAAGCCAGACTCTACTGACAAAAACATTAATTTTACCTTGCTGAACACGGGAGCTGCTGGTTTACCTCTGCCTTGATCAGTTAGTTAGTTTCTGTTGTGACTTTGGTGAATCCGAACTTAACCTTAGTGACCAAAGTACCGCAATGACATAAACTAATGTTTAGTGTTGTTGCTGTTAAACACAGGACTATATGACTTTAATTCATCAAGACTTTTCTCAATTTTTGGATTCTTCGTTTACTGTGGAGGCACGTGAGAAAAGTAAAGTTTTCTCCAATAATTCAACGAAACACGGGGTGTGTAATCGATATTTAAATCATCACCCTAAAGTATTCCTTTGAGATCCATCTTTGTTCATCAGTCTTTTACTTTGCTGTTTCTTCAGATAATTGAAATTTGATAATTGTCATTCAACTATCTTTGTTTCTGTTGTGAAGCTGTGAAAAAATGTACAAAGCAACAGCAGAAGATAGTAGAAGTGCCTAAAAAAGACTTTATAGAATGAGTCTCACCAGTGGAGTGTCCCGAGCCTTCTCCAGCCGCACCAGTTTAACCGTCTCTCCAAGGTACTGGGCCACATCTACCTCTGCCATTTCCTGCCCTGCCACACTGTCATGGGCCTGCATCAGTGCCTGCCACATTAAACAAACACAGAGACACACACAGAGAGACAAACAGTACAGACATAGAAGTTTTACAAACAAGTGACAGACAGGGACATGGACAGAAACATAAAGGAGGAGGCAGCGTGAGGTAAAGAGAATATAGATGATGTACAGATGTTGTCCTATCAAGGAGCATTTGTCTGGATGAAAAGGATGATAACAAAGAAATTCTGAAAACCCTTTCCTTAAACATGCACCTGCTACCAGAAGCCTTCCTAACCCCAATCTTTTTTAACAAGACCAGTCAGAAAACCCACTGCTCAGCCAGAAATAATACACAGATTGCTCCTTCACTTCATTTAATGTGACAAGCCCTCCGTAGCCCACAATTAATAACCGTCTGTCCAAATCAGATTCTCTATCCTGCAGCAGAATGGACCTAAGAGAGCAGAGGCCGGGCTAAGCTTTGGCGTACACACAATCCGTCTTAATCTCCACCTGCATTTAGTAGTCAGGATCCATCGCCATCAATCATCAAACACCTTTGGCGTCCCTGCTCACGAGGAAACTGTGTCCTAGAAAACAGCGAAAGGGAGACAGGAGCAATTGTGGCGGGGGGGGGTTGGGTCCCATTGCTCTCACACATGTACCTGTCCATTAGTTTTGGATCTGAGGTTGTTTGTCTTTAGGGTGCCTCGTGTGATCATCTGCTCCCTGCAGAGAAACCTACATAATCTGTTCCACTTTCTATGCCACAGGGCAGGCTCTCCACATCACACTGCCCCCGCAGGCTACATGGATCCAGCTCAGTGGAGGGGTTAAAAGGCCAACGAGAGAATTGGTAGTTCACACAGTCACGTAGGTCAAACATCAGACCATTGGCGCTCCCCCCTGTCAGAACCCTCAACCATAAAATCACAGCGGCATCATCCACCTGAGGTCTTTTCTCACCTTACTGCCTCTCTAATGGACGATGACGTTGGATAATATGGCAACATTTTTACTACAGAAGGATCACTGAAGCTTAAACTGACAAATGCAAAGCATCAGCAGTTCATGTACGCTGTGCAACTTAAATATCTGTTTGATTCTTTTCATGTTGACATAATGCGATATACAGAGGTTTGATTGAATTGTTCTGTGTTCAAGTTGTCTGTTTTTTTATACTTCCAAATAAAAAAGACCTTGATCAAAAAAATAAAAAAAGTAGCGACTGTAAGCTACTGACTATATTAGACACCAAATGACATGACAGAAAACAGCAAGATCTTCAACATTTCTAATTGGCTTTTTTCTTAATTAATTTCAAAGAAACTGACGTGCACTCTGCTGCAACGAATGCACCAATCATGCTGACCCACACTACATTACAACCTAATTTACATAATGGCCTTTCTTGAGACCCAACACATTAATCTTCGGAGCAAAGCACGGACTAGTTGACCTTGAAACAAATGAATTTTGCACAACATATGATAACAACTAATAATTAAATTTGTCACGAAAGATTTAATCTGTAAAGCAAACATGTGCAATGCCCAAAAGTCCTTGAACTAAACAATAAATTCCTGCCAGCTCACGGTTCACCAACATGACATGACCTCATGACAGTATAATGCATCATGATGGAGCAATCTGCCTCTATTTTAATTCAGTAGTTATGATGGCACAAAGTTGCAAAGTGAGACTGTCTTTCAAATACCCTTAAGATGGTAAGTCCCATTTTTCCTTTCATAGTCTATGGACTATTATATACTTGACTTCTGACCTCCCAGAGGAAGGTGCAAGGGAAACAATTACCCTACTGGAATAAGTACAGTATGATAATTATATTTCCAGTATTCCAATTATCATCATATTAACTAAATAAATGAGGAGGTCAAGGCTAACTGGTGTTGTCTTATGACAATATCATTGGTTATTATTGTGAGTCACAGCTGGGAAGCTGACATCTGACCTGGAGATGAGGATTGGTGAGCAGAGCTTTGAGCTCCAGACCCTCCTTCTGTTGGCTGGACTGGAGAATCTTCTGGACCTGAACAGAAACACAGACACACAGAACTATGGTGAGGTAAACTGTTCAACAGCCAATAAAAGCTACAGACAAGGGGACCAAGTAAAGTCAAGAACAAATTAAGAGTTTTCAATTCAACCCCACTTTTTTAAGTTTAAATTCGAAAGTAACTGGAATCCATGTCAAAGTCATGTGACGTCAATAATGAAGTCATTTCAGTCAGGAAAACTTTAGTCAAAGAAAACTTTATTTCCATTTGCAGTATTATATTTGGTATGGCTCTGTTCTGGGGCCTCTCTGTCTTTCCTTGGGCCTGTGCAAAAAGCCTCTTCCACACACCTGCGTGGAAAGCCTTAGGGCCCATTTATGCTCAATGTTAAATACAGATCCGGATACGGATGAAGCCTTCTGTCCGTGCTCTGTGTTCATTTCGTCCGTATTTCTGCACGTTTCCATAAAGCTTACGGATACGGGCCAAACGGAGCAGTACCACCGGGAACCGTGGGGGCAGTGTTGCTGTCACTAGCCAATACGTAGCTCTAGTGAGACACGAAGAAGAAATAATTCAATTTCTCTCATCGGCAGTACTAGAGAAAAGAATTCTCCGTCCTCCAGTCGCGATGTATTTAACGGCCTCACCGACCACTGCCTCCTACAACGCTGCCCCTGTTTTTGTCTTTTATGCAAGAGGTACATTATCAACATCTCCTCCACAGTCGCCATTTTTGTTTTTGAGTTTGTTGTCATAAATGTTTGTTGTCATAAACGTTTGACGCTGGGCTGCCTCCTGGTGGATATATTGGTTAACATCCATGCCAACATAAAGGGCGCATGGAAGTATGTGGGCAGTGACGGTTACATCATTTGAAAAGGATGTATACATTTTCGTACATAAAGGGAGCATAAATGAGCCCTTAAGGCACAGAGAGCACATCTCTCTGCCGTTCCACATGCAAATGAGGAAAGCCTAAGGTGGCGAGAGCAAACCTCCCTGCCCTTCCATGCACCTACATGCAAAGCCTAAGGCAGGGCAAGCAGCAGCAAAAAAACCCCACAAAACCCAGGAACAGAACAGAGCAGCATCACTGACAAAAAGAAATGACATTGATAAGTCAGACACAGCATGAAAAGGAAGAGCTGGGGTGGAGGCGGTTTGCAAAGCGGCTTGCAGAGTAAGCAGCAACAGTAGGCAGGCCAGAGCAGTTTAAATAGGACGCCCTGAATGAGATTCACCACTTGGTTGCATAGAATGGAATCATGTGATCGATCAGCTGACTCTCTTCCATCAACCAGCTGCTCCATCAGTTGATTGAGCTGTTTGAGATCAGCTAATGTAGCTGGGATGTGAGCTGAGCTTGACATCGTGTCCTGCCTGAACTAACGCTATGCTCAATTTTATTCTTAAAACAGTTAGACTTATGTCAGATTGAAGTCTAAAGCTGCCAATACACGTTGTCATAACTGCTTGTCAAACAATTAAATAGCTTTGAAAACCCAGTGTCTGACAATTCACTTTTTGAAGCCAACAATCCAACATTCTCACACACACACACACACACACACACACACACACACACACACTTCACACTATGATTGGCCAACTATGGGGAAGTGAAAAAGGAGCTTAACCTTTCCCTCTCAAGCTCTTTTTTTCATTCTTGACACAACTATTTCTGTCACTTTTTCACTGTAGTGCAGCACAATGAATGTCTACCAGGAGAGACTGTCTGGAAGTGTGCGCCTCTATGCCCATATATAACAATTATTGTGACAGCACCCCGTCTTTTTGATGGCCAATTTTTCAGCCATCTGTGAGCGAAGCCATTTGGAGCAGGTGTAAATACATTTAATTTCTGATGCAGTCCGACAACACGTCATGCAAACTAGTTACTTTCAAGCACAACCTGGCCGTAAGCCATGTGACTCAAGTCATCACATCTGACATCTGCATACATAAATGCCCCCTGGAGGATTCATTCTTTGGATGTTGGTGACTCAATGGCCCATTCACTAGCACAGACCTCAGGGGAGACTGTCAACTTTTACTCATCATATATCACTTCCATTTGTACTGAGATATTCCAAACACATCCAAAAGCATCTGGAGTGGTTGACCTTTCCTTCTGCACCAGCCTTACCCTGAAATTATGTTACGATTGTGAGCATTGCTTTCTAATGTACAACAGGTTCTACAATGGGTGCAAACCAATGTCTTCACCCAACTTTACTTGTATCCTTTTGTTTGCTCTGGGTACCTTTTTTCATGGCACTGAGTTACTAAAGGTAAACTTCTGTATTTTTCAACCTGGACCCTATTTTATCATGTTTTTGTGTCTAGCTGACTAGTGGAAACAATCATTTTTGAAATTGGTCTAGTATTAAGAGACACCACTGAAACAGGATACAATGTAATCCCTACCTGAAATTATGCACTGTCACTACAAGTGCCTGTTTTGCCACTGACAGGCTCACATTGTCTTAATGGGTGTCTGACAACAATACAGAAAAGACCTAAAGAGAAATTAAATGTTCGTCCTTACCTTTTGCTTGATTTGGTCTGTTTGTTAGTGTGTGTAACAAAGTCTCGCTCAGAGAGGAATCTCATGAGAGGTGACTTGTTGCAGGATAACAACGGTGGAAATGTTAGTGAGAGTTGGAGAGAGAAGTGCCAGGAGGAGTTTTATCATCGTGGCTGAGTATTTAGTTAAATTTGATAATGTAGACAAGTCTGTGAGATTTCAGAAAGAGACTTCCTCTTGAGGAAGACTTAGTTACACACACTAAAGCCAGTTAAGACCAATGATTCACTGCGAGACAAAACCGTTTTAGAACATTACAGAGAAAAGTTGCAGAGGTGTGAAGTGGTCTTCTGAACTCATCTCAATCCGGCTGATGGTGTCACCTGCTGGTTTTAGAACGTAAAGCATGTCACCTCTTTTTTCCGGCCAGTCAACTTGCAGTGAAGTCTGCTGGTCAAGTCAAAATTACCGCAGACGGCATGTTCACTTGCTGCAGCAGGTGCTTCATCCCCGCCAAGCCCTCACATTGTGCCAGAGTCGGACGGTGTTTCGCTGCTGCTGCTGCTGCTGCTGCTCATTGTATGTCCTTATGCCCCACCCACACACACATTCTCATTGACTAACTAATTGGCACTGCTTATTCATATTATTGTGGTGTATTTATCATGAACACAGTCCATCTGACGCTCGTTTTGTTTCTGTTTTTAGCCATTTCATCACCACTACAAATGCATCTGTAGCCAGTATCTCACTATCACTATCCTCATTCATATTTTAAGAAGCTACAAATTATATTCAGCCACAAGATAAACCTGAAAAACTTGAAAACAGAACAAAAGTCCAGAGAGTTGCCGATAGAGATGATACACCGACTCGTGTAGTTGCATTGGTGTGAACCAGCAGACTTTTAGAACATTGCAGAATGGCACATTGCAAGTAGATGTACATTTCAACTTGTCTTGTTTGGTCTGAACTGGGCTTAACAAACAACGTTTCATTTCTTTGTGGGGTCCTTTCCATAATGTATCAGACACGTCCAATAACAATCTGAGCCTGTCAGTGGCAAGAACAACCACTTTGCATGGACGTAACTTGATGATGCATAGTTGCCTGTAGGGATTACACTGCAGCCTGTATCACCACTGTAGCTCTCAGTCTCTCCCAATACTGGATAAGGGTCCAGTTTCCCTTTGCCACCTTTAACTCAAGTTGACCTGCACAAATATCTATATGAAGCCTGGACACTAAACTGATTTTAAAGCAAACCTATACATTAAGACAATCATGTAGTCTTGTTATATAGTTACACTTACACAAGAACTACCTGTTAAGCTTGTTAAAAAACAAAACACAATCCACGACAGCATTGTTTGCATTGTGTGTGTTGTATTTAACCAGATTTAACAGGCATAAACTTCTTAACCTCTCTAAACTTCAGCACATTACACTGCTCTTCCATGGCTCTTCAGACTTTCCACTCTGCTCCATTTTTACTCCCTCCTTTGTTTTTTCCTCTCTGCTTCTATTTTAATCATCTGGTTCTTGTGTTGTCATTTAGTGGGAAGATACTATTGTTTGTGGCTTGGACTGTGTACTGAATCATCACAGAAGGCATTTTGGTGTTTTGTTACTCCTGTCTTTCTGCCTCTTCCCCTTCACTGCCTGTTTGGAGCTTAGTTCATCCATTACACTAATCGAAGCTCTCGCTAACAAGGTGACGCACTTTCCCCCCTCCCCCCCTAGCAGCACTGTACCTCGGCCCTCGCTGCCGTAAGCTGCTGGAGATTCTTTTTCTAGCCGCCCAGATCCTGGCCTCCTTCCTGCAGTGTTCTGCGTCGCTCAGCCTGCACCAGGGGCTGCTGGGAGATTAGTTTACCCAACGGCCTATGAGTGTCACACAGCACAGCCACTTAGTTTAGACACACCGCAGCTCAAACTATTACGCGTTGTTAAGCGCTTCGGGAGCTGTGCCCATTGGGAAGACGCTGGTTTACTGTATGCAGAAAGACAACGTGCCGTGTGTGTGTGTGTGTGTGTGTGTGTGTGTGAGAAGCAAAACAGATCATCTCACCCAGCCCCTCTATCCTCAAAACAGTCCTGTCAAGACTGGAATACTAATTCAGTGGCAGCGCTGCTCGGTGTCCTCTGAATGAACTCTACACAGCTCATAGCAGCCTGTTTCGTCAAAACAAGGCTGACTCTTACACATCTCGTCATCAGCTAAAAATCACACTGCACCAAAAAAGCCTGTATTACATTCTTTCATGTTACACCTATCAAGAGTTGACACTAATCCTAATAAAGTGCCTATTGTGGGTGTAGCCTGTCATTGTTGTATCAAGCTTCTACCTAATTCATAGCAAACCATATCACAATTTCTGTCTTTTTACGGGGAGCGGGCTCTGTGTGACAGGCTGCGTTTAATGTGCAGAGGCTCGGCTCTGCAGGGACACAAGTCAATTACTGTTGCTTTGCTTCAGTAGAGACCAACCGGCTTGTGTTTTGTCGACGAGGAAGTCAGTAGCGGCACATTCCCACTAACTCAAACCCAAGTACTGAGATGGTTTCTTGCTTTCTGTCACTCTGAGTACCAGGACTCAGGAGTCAGCACTGTTATTTAAAGATGAAACAGCAGTCGGTGGACCGGGGAATGAAATAGAAAACATAGTATATTTTGCAAGCCACATATTTACACTTTGGTTCATGCCTTCCTCCTCTGTCCTTCTTGTCCATCTCAAATGTCTCTCTGTCATTCTATCAGCTTTCCCCCCTAATTCTCCAATTTAAAATTTCCGTCCTTTTGCCGCTTTCAAACTTTTCCCCAGCTCAGTTAATTTCCACGCATGGCCTGGATTCGACAAATCCCTCTTTTTTTTTGTTTTCACTCACCTTGTTAACCACAAGACAATTTACATTCCATAATTATTCAGACTGGGCACGACTGTCTTTTGGGCAGCTTTGTTGAATTAATCATCACCTCAAGCAAAGATTGTTCATGCTTCATTGAGTTTGTTCAAATACTTCACCCACAGTGAAACTAGCCTCTAAATATAAGCTTAATGTGGTCCAAAATACAAATTGGCAAATTCAATCCGAGCGCCTTTATGCTTGTGTGCACAAACTGCCGCCTCTGTGGAGACCACGGCTCGTCTTTTGAGGTATGGAATAAGACTTTGTGGCATGGTTAGTAATGTTTAAAAATGAAAGTGAGACGAGCAGAAATCAGTTTCTCCTGAAGCTGCTGACACATTTACAAAACTATAAGAATCCAGCAGTAAAACTCTGTTAATGAGTACTAATGCAAACTAATTGCAAGGTCACCACTGAGCAAAGTGTCAAAGTGTCCACACCATGTTTGTTTTGAGCTTAATCAAGTTAAGAATGACTGTTATGCGTACCTCCTGGCAGAGATCCCCTGCTTGTGCTGTGAGGGGTGAGGTGGGACTGACTTTGGTCATCTGCTGGGATACAGCGCTGTAAATGGTGTAGGCATTCCTGAAGTCCTCCTTGGCAAGAAGCTGCATTATCAGCTCCACATCCTGCTGGCTCTGCGCATCAGTCAGGCAGTGCTTCGCCCACTTCAGGGCCTGCAGCACCTCCGCCAGGTCTGAGAGAGAGGCAGAGACAGTGAGGGGAGCAGTTCAGAGACAACAGAGTGCTGCAGGGATTGTGTTAACTTGGAGGCCAACCTGGAAGTTAGTATCGCCCTGGTTCCCTCGACAAAAAGCCAATGGGATCTTACCCTTGGATTTGGGATTATTGCAGAAAATTAGCTCTGTGGCAAACAACATTTTGTTCAGCAAGAAATGAACACCACTTTTATGATTTTTGGGGCATAAATAAAACTGCCAGAAGTAGAAAGCTAACATGGAGCTATAGACAAACTACACCACAGTTGCATGACTTCATCATCACCACCACAACAAGGCTGTAAAGCTTTGTCCAGTGTGCTGATGTTTTGTAGTCCAATTTTGCTACTTGTTAGAAACCGCCTTCGAAATTCTCTTGTGCTTGTGTTAGCCACAGACCTTGATTCAGGCATTTAACCAAAAACCCATTGACTTTGAGCCGAGGGAACCAGAAGTGCAAAATAATAACTCATTTCTGGGTTTTAGGATCCATTTCTGCAGCAATCTAAACAGATCAACATAGAGACAAAATGACAGAGGAAAGGAATTTTTCTCCTTTAAGATATGGATGTTTGCTTAGTGTTTACATGACCTGTTAATGAAAGTCTTAAAGCTGTATGTCCAAGGTTACCACCAGTACGTTCTACTGGGGCTGGGCAATGTGGAGAAAATCCAACATTACCATTTTTTTTATCAAATACCTAGGTATCGATATTGTAGAGACACTGTAGGGTTGACTTTTGGTGCTTGGACAAAGTATTTACACAATAATAATTTTTATTAATACTCATGAATAATGTGGATATAATATAATGGCTAAGTGGGTAAAGTGTACCAGAACAGCTAGAACAGTCTGATAAGTTGAAAAAATGACATCACTTTATTGTAACGCAGCCTTTAAATCAAGGAGGAGGCAACACTTATGATATCACCATATCCAAACTCTAAGACGATACCTAGTCTCATTTTATGACATAGACGTAATATTGATACAGTGTATTGCCCAGCTCTACGTTTAACCTGCACCTACGTTTAACCTATTGTCTAAGGCTAATCTGATGTTACACCTGACCTGGGTCAACAGCTATAGTTGCATACACATCAATGCTTAACAGAAGTATCAACACAAGATTGAGCTCGCACAGTATAATGAAATTGGAGCTTTTGATGATTTTTGGAGGTGCAAATATGTTAAATCTAGGGAGACTGGACTAAGGCCTTTGAGACACCCAGATTTTACCCTGCTGCTTTCTGAGATGTGGTGCCTGTCTGCCTGTCCACACCTGTCTGACAGGTGTGTCATAGGGCAAAACTAAGTATTCTGCTGCAGCGGAAGATTTCCAGTATGGGAGGAGATAATTCTCCTCCAGTCCAAAATCAAACTGTGGGCCTACAGTGGAGGACTAGAATTTTGCTCCTGAGCCACCAGATAGTTTTTGGTTTTAGCTGGAGATTTCTGCAACAGTTTGCAATCTACAATAATGTTCGTTATGTTTTAGACCGAGAAGAGCTGAGCTCATAGCTGAAAGGCCCAGGTTGGTCCAACACCAATAACTACCTACTGTTGTCATCAACAATCAGTCAATTAATCAATTGAAAGAAAATTAATTGCAATCGATAACTCATTTCAGTCACTTTTTAAGCAAAAATGTCAAATAATTTCTGGTTCCAGCTTCTTAAATGTGCGAAATTGCTTCTTTTCTTTGTAATACATGACAGTGAATGAAGAGTCTCTGGGTTTTGGACTCTTGGTTGGACAAAAAACAAACAAACAAAAAAAAAAACAATATGAAGGTGTTGCTTTGGGAGATTGTGATGAGCATTTTTCAAACTTTTTTGACATTTGTTGGACTAAATGATTAATCAATCAATTGTGAAAATAATCGCGAATGAAAATAATCATTAGTTGCAGCCCAAAATATTAGCATACACTGTATAATAATCCTACAGAAACACATGTTCAGCTCCTTTCTTTCATACCTAAACACTGTCAGGCCTTATGAGTCTAATGTATATATAGCCTACTATCAAAGATGTCAGAATTTTCTGTATTACAATAAACTCTCATTCCTGTTCTCACTAGATGGTCTTTGCATAAAAGTAATTCATCTAATTATGCCAGGTGACTGAAATCAATTTGACACTAAAGACATTTTATAATGAGCTGAACCTCTCAATTCTTTTAAGTGCACTTTTTTTTAATCGGTTTGCATTAATATGTAATTCATTATGTAATTATCTATTTATTTACACAAATTATGATACACTCAGGTTGTGCACACAAAGTAGTACAAGCAATATTTCATGCACTCAAACTAACCAATATAGACCACACATACGGCGCATGCGCTTTTGCATTATCAATATAATGAATCAGAAATTATTTCATTGTCCTGTGGCAACTGATGGTCTCTTTGCTCTTCAGTCCAGAGTTGGGACTGAGACACTAACCAGTGTTAACGATGCACTGCCCCTTAAACACATCACCCTCCTCCACTACCACCCTCTGCTCTGCCCCCTCACTCATTGTTTTGACTCCTTTTGTTTCACTGATTTTTTGTTAAACCTCACAACTCCCTATTCTTTTCTGAAGTCTGAATTCCTCCTCTCCTTTATGACCTTCCTTCCTCCTTCCTTTGACCCCAGTTTAGACCCTCTGACCCGCACCGCCCTCCTCCTCCTCTCAACTCACCGGCTGCAGGATCCTGGGAGCACGTGTCTTTGGTAGCCTTTTCCTTCCCCTCGAAGGTGGGATTGTCAATGCCCACTTTGGGGTTCTGTGACAGCTTCTTGAGCCTCAGCGAAGCGTTGGGGTCAAATTCATGTTTCCCCCTGCTGTCCTCCTCTCTCCTCTTCCTCAACTCTTCTTGGTAGTGCTGAATCCTCTCCAGGTGGGCGCTGCTCTGTGGAGATTTGACAAGGCTGCTCTCATCCATTGGACAGTCCACCGCCCTCTCCCTGTGGCTCCTGGCCTGACCAGAGGCCTCTTGCACATAACCGTTCATATGGGACATGATCATCCCGGCTGCAGCGGCGTACACCCCAGAGTTTACTGAGATCTGCTTGAGTCATTCGAGGCACAGCTCAAATCAGAGGCCATAGCACATCAGCGGAGGATGTCGTCCTCTGTGTTCTTTCTGTTATCTGTTACCCTGAAAAACAAGTTCAGATGGATTTACCTTGTTGTTTTAAGCAATTTTATTTACTTTTGAGCAAAACTATCAATGAAGACACAGAAAAAAATGATGGTAAACAACATTTAGAAAGACTAAATAAAAGGATTTCCCTTGTTAAGTGTCTCCTTTATCGCACTTTTAGAAAGCAGAAGGTGAAGGATTTCATTGATACATAAGATAAATATGCATTTTGGCTGCTGCTCTGACAGAGTGATCGATAGCTAAATTGACACTGTTTAAGATATTCAAGAACTCTATAGCCTTGGCTGCCAACAAATACTTTTTTGTTATACCTTAGAGGTGGGTGAATCTGGGGTAATTTTATTGTCCAAAATATGTACTTTATGTATTCTCTATATGTATAAATGCTATTAGAGAACACCATCATCACCATTATGGTCCCACACTTTCATGCCAAAGTAAGTTTAAACATCATTTTACTCTAGTATAAAGTCATGACTCAACTCATTACTTTTGCCCCTACCAGCCACCACATTAAAACCACTGACAGGTGAAGTGAATAACATTGATCATGTTGTTTAAATGCAATGTTCTGCTGGGAAACCTCTGGCATTCATGTGGATGCTACACCCAAACACTGTTGGAGACCAAGTACACTCCGTCATGGCAAAGGCAAGAATGGCTCGAGGAACATGACAGAGAGCTCAAGGTGTTGATCTGGCCTATGAATTCTGCAGACTCCAATCTGATCGAGCCTCTGTGGGGCATGCAGGCACCAAAGAGGTCCTGTGTAGGGATAGACCGATATGGATTTTTTAGGGCTGATGCCGATACCGTTTTTTTTCCATCACCCTTAGCCGATGACCGATTATGGACTGCCGATTTTCTTGAGCCGATATTTGGGGCCGATACTGCTTTTGCTCCCTCAATTTACATCAAAAAAATGACACAATGATAACAAATATTACAGATCTCAAGTTTAAAATAAGAAACATTTATTGAACAGTAAAAAATACTCAAACAAGATGGAAAGTTGAGGTAGAATAGGTAGAATATTATTCTTATCATCATACATTCAAATAAAAAAAAAAGAGTTCAGTGCTCTTAAATCTTCCAGTAATGTCTTTATAAAATAAACAAATATTTAAGCTGAAGCATAAATAAAACAACAACTACTGTACACAGTAGGATTCGCTGCATGTGCGCTGTAGGGTCTTCCGGCAACACAGAGCTGCCGTGGATGCCTGTCTGTAAATCATGCCAGGGAAAAATAAATCCGCGAACCCACGCGTGTATCGGCCGATGCCGATACAAGTAAAAAACTCAAATATCGGCCCGATATATCGGCCGGCCGATGTATCGGTCTATCCTTAGTCCTGTGTCCATGCCTCAACAGGTCAGAGCCAAGTTCGATCCACAATGGGGTCTCGGGCACTAGTGAGATGGCAGGAGATCCTTTGAGTCAGGCCCAATCTGCATGGACAGCAAGTGACTCACAAACATATCAACTATGTAAAATAAAACACCTTTTTTAAGTACAGTGAATTTCCGACACAGAGTTTTTATTCTGAAGCGTCATTTCCTGCAGTAGAATGAGTAAATAACGGACAGCAACCTGACAGAGACAGCAAACTAGCTTGACGACATGGCCAAATCGAAGTATGGCGCTGAACATATTAAACTGTGTGGACCTTGAACGAATGACTAAGGAGAAATCTGGCACCCATAACTGGACTAGTTGAGAACCACTGCTTTTAGTCCTGTGGGTTGCGAGGCAGGGCCTCCATGGATCGGACTTGCTCCAGCACGACCCACGTATGCTTGATCGAATTGAGATTTTGAGGAAGCTGGAGACCAGGTCGATGCCTTGAGCTCCTTGTGACGTTACATGGGCCATTCCTTGGGGGGGGGTTCTGCCATCACAGCATGAATGCCAGGAGCCAAATTTTCTGAGCAGAGGATCACACTGTAACAAGATGATCAACGTTTTTTACTTCACCTGTCACCTGTCTGAATGTTGTGGCTGATCGGTGTATATAATTGCAGAATTGATTTATATGGTTTAAAGCAGTGGTTGCCTACTGGTGGATCGCGGGTCCATTTTGAATGGACCACAAGTGACTCGCGAACGTGTCAAGTTTGTTAAAAAAAACAACAACAAAAAAAAAACACTTTATTTTGAAGTACAGTGAATTTCTGATACAGAGCAATTATTTTGAAGTGCCCTTTCCTGTTGTAGAGTGAGTGACTAACAGACAGCTACTTAACAGAGACGGCAAATTAACTGATGACATGGCTAAACACAAGTATGACGATGAATGTATTTAAGTGTGTGGACCTTGAACTAAGGAGAAATCTGGACCCCGTGGCTGGACCAGTTGGGAACCAGGGGTCTAAAATATAATATATAGCTTTTGTTTAAATGTTACTTTTTTAATATATATATATATATATATATACAGTACAGGCCAAAAGTTTGGACACATCTTCTCATTCAATGCGTTTTCTTTATTTTCATGACTATTTACATTGTAGATTCTCACTGAAGGCATCAAAACTATGAATGAACACATGTGGAGTTATGTACTTAACAAAAAAAGGTGAAATAACTGAAAACATGTTTTATATTCTAGTTTCTTCAAAATAGCCACCCTTTGCTCTGATTACTGCTTTGCACACTCTTGGCATTCTCTCCATGAGCTTCAAGAGGTAGTCACCTGAAATGGTTTCCACTTCAGGTGTGCCTTATCAGGGTTAATTAGTGGAATTTCTTGCTTTATCAATGGGGTTGGGACCATCAGTTGTGTTGTGCAGAAGTCAGGTTAATACACAGCCGACAGCCCTATTGGACAACTGTTAAAATTCATATTATGGCAAGAACCAATCAGCTAACTAAAGAAAAATGAGTGGCCATCATTACTTTAAGAAATGAAGGTCAGTCAGTCCGGAAAACTGCAAAAACTTTAAATGTGTCCCCAAGTGGAGTCGCAAAAACCATCAAGCGCTACAACGAAACTGGCACACATGAGGACCGACCCAGGAGAGGAAGACCAAGAGTCACCTCTGCTTCTGAGGATAAGTTCATCCGAGTCACCAGCCTCAGAAATCGCAAGTTAACAGCAGCTCAGATCAGAGACCAGATGAATGCCACACAGAGTTCTAGCAGCAGACCCATCTCTAGAACAACTGTTAAGAGGAGACTGCGCCAATCAGGCCTTCATGGTCAAATAGCTGCTAGGAAACCACTGCTAAGGAGAGGCAACAAGCAGAAGAGATTTGTTTGGGCCAAGAAACACAAGGAATGGACATTAGACCAGTGGAAATCTGTGCTTTGGTCTGATGAGTCCAAATTTGAGATCTTTGGTTCCAACCGCCGTGTCTTTGTGAGACGCAGAAAAGGTGAACGGATGGATTCCACATGCCTGGTTCCCACTGTGAAGCATGGAGGAGGAGGTGTGATGGTGTGGGGGTGTTTTGCTGGTGACACTGTTGGGGATTTATTCAAAATTGAAGGCACACTGAACCAGCATGGCTACCACAGCATCCTGCAGCGACATGCCATCCCATCCGGTTTGCGTTTAGTTGGACGATCATTTATTTTTCAACAGGACAATGACCCCAAACACACCTCCAGGCTGTGTAAGGGCTATTTGACCAAGAAGGAGAGTGATGGAGTGCTGCGGCAGATGACCTGGCCTCCACAGTCACCGGACCTGAACCCAATCGAGATGGTTTGGGGTGAGCTGGACCGCAGAGTGAAGGCAAAGGGGCCAACAAGTGCTAAACACCTCTGGGAACTCCTTCAAGACTGTTGGAAAACCATTTCAGGTGACTACCTCTTGAAGCTCATGGAGAGAATGCCAAGAGTGTGCAAAGCAGTAATCAGAGCAAAGGGTGGCTATTTTGAAGAAACTAGAATATAAAACATGTTTTCAGTTATTTCACCTTTTTTTGTTAAGTACATAACTCCACATGTGTTCATTCATAGTTTTGATGCCTTCAGTGAGAATCTACAATGTAAATAGTCATGAAAATAAAGAAAACGCATTGAATGAGAAGGTGTGTCCAAACTTTTGGCCTGTACTGTATATATAAACACTAATAAATGTTATTCTTCCTTCCAGTTGGCTGCCCGTTGATCAGGGCCAACACTTACTCCTACCTCCTCTCCTCTCCCACACCACTAATCTAACTCCTAACATGGAAAGCTCTCTGGCCTCAGTCACCTGAAATCCCTTCAGTTCAGCATCACCCTGCCATTTGCTTGGGTACACCTGTCCCCAACTGTCCCGCCCTCAGGAACAGCTTAATGAAAATATCCATCTGTAGCCTATGTACGGATGCCCAAATAAAGAAATTGCATGTGAATGTGACACCTGATGCACAACTACCTGATCTAGAGATGGATTATAATCTATTTTAAGGATTCTATGAGTATTAATATGACTTAGCAAATTGGGTAGTATGACTGAGAGATGTTCACTATGTTTTTAAAAAGGTTAGTCTATAGTCTATAAAAGAAAATCCTTTTCCAAAAACATCCATTAGGTAAGGAGTAAAAGTGTTTTGAGCAGGTCACAAAGGTGGACATATACCTAGAAAGCATGTCTTCATCTTTCACAGATTAGCGTCTGTTTAAATAATATGTAGGCGCTCAAGTTGGACTATCTTTCTCTCAACTTGCTATGACTTGAATACACTGCAGTCTTAAAATTAACTTACATGTTTGCCCTTATTATTACCTAACATTAAAGACACCTTAGATTATTATTTACACGGAGAACCTTAAGTACCTCAAGGATAAACATAGCTGTGTCACTGAACGCCACCTCATGTCACATAGTCAGTCATACACACGTCACCTGCCAACTCATTGCATCCCTCCCTCCCCCTCTTCTACCTACTTCCCACAGCTAATTACGTTTGGCAGCTCTATCCCCCAGCTCTTGGACCAAGCTCCCAAACCCCTCCCCTGCAGAAGCATTTAGCTGCATTTAGAGTGGCGGAGTACGACTGACAAACAGCAGAGACTGCCAGCGGGCCATCTGTTCCTGTGGGCTTAATTAAGCCTGGGATCTCATGCCCTACTCTAGCTCAGTGGACACAACAGCACTGGGAGGGATGCTGGGGAGGAACAGAGGGGATGTGGGTAGAAGAATGGGAATGAATGGAGGTGCACATGCCCACCTAGACGTAAACAGACGGGGGAATACGATGAGTTTGGTGTCAGTTACATATGTGGAACAACTTTAGAAGATTACGGACATGGCGATATATTTCTGCAATATTAAATAAGAGCTTAACATGTCAAATTAAACGGTGATAATCAAGCTCATATCAACAAGCAGTGTGAGGTGACACTAGAAGTCCAAAAACTTATAAGGGTTTAGCATGAAATAGGCCTACAGAAGGAACTAGGGTTGCACGACATGAAAAAACAAAACAAAAACAAGTTGACAGTTATTGTGATTGCAATGTGGGTTGCGATTTTAGTGGGAATGGTAATTTTTTGATAAAATATCAGTAGCAGTGCTGTTACTTGATTTATATGCAAAACAGTGTATGGTAAAAACAACTCCAGTGGTGCTTTTCCACTGAAAAAGTCCATGAGATATGGTTGAAAGATCTGGAAAATGTCATAAACCTTGAGTTCTGAATATTTCCATAAAAGTACTCCAGTGATAGTTTTCAGCACACTTATCAAAGATTGCTTTATCAAACAGTTGCTATGGTTAATTGGGAAAGGGGCATGTCCAACACTGGCATACTTAATACAACCATTCTTATATAAAGACTATTAAAAAAACCCACTCAGACTACAAGTTTGTGATCCGCCTCAATGTGGTAACAATCTTTTCATTTCTAACATATGTCCTAATGAGTCATTTCCTCCCAGCTTGGATTTAGATTTACTCTCCCAGACGGGGACTTGCTTTCACAGCCAGTGCAACACAGAAACATTCCGATACACATGCTGTGGCTGGGAATCTCCTCATGTTAGTGTCATAACAGCATATCAAGGCTACTCTCTATTACTTAGGGACTGTTCGTTACTTATGAGAGGGACGGGGTGGTGCAAAAACGGGAAGGCATGTCAAATAATTTTTAAGCACTGGTGAGGGACTTGTGTTTTCCACTTTGGCTTGGGGGAGGGACATACAAATGTAAATGGTTGTATTTCTCATTTAATTTACTGCAGATTTTTAGAGGAAACATGCCCTCCAAACCTGTCAGCAAAGTGGAACGCATATTTTCTTGAAAACTGCCGAATGTCACCATTTTATTTGATCTATTTAAGCTTTATTTAACCAGAAAAACCTCTTGAGATTAAAAATCTCTTTTTCAAGAGTGTCCTGGCTGAGACAGGCAGAAATACAAGTTACAGACAGACATAGAACAAAAATACAGAATAAAAATGTACAGCTCTCGGGGCGTCAGTGGCTTAGTGGTAGAGCAGGCGCCCCATGTATAAAGCTGTTGCCGCAGCGGCCCGGGTTCGACTCCAGCCTGTGGCCCTTTGCTGCATGTCACTCCCTCTCTCTATCCCCCTTTCACACTTGTCTGTCCTGTCCATTATAGGCTAAAAAATGCCCCAAAAAAATCTTAAAAAAAAAAAATAAAAAAAAAAATGTACAGCTCTAAAACAAGCAATATAAAACACAAAATAAGATTACTACAAATAAAAGCCAAAAACTATGCTGATGCACACTAGAAGTGAACCATAAAAAAGCAAAAAACTGCAACTACACATGATTACAAAGACCAGCAAAGAGAAACTGTGACATTGGCATATAGAAGATTGTAGAAGAAGAAGTACATAAACAGTGCTTTGAAACGTCCGAGAGGAACTAAAGAGTGCAACTTTAAGTTCTGCAAGGGGCTGCATACATAAATACTCGCTTACCAAACTCTGTACGTACCCCCAGTACAGACAATAAAAACATTGTAGTCAGAAACTGTAAAAACAGAAATTATCATTGGATTTTTAATTTTCCAACGGGCCTTGGTCACATCATGGGCTACGTCTCATTTAAAATTTGGCCAAAAATCAAACGTTTGCACTAACTAAGGATGAAAAACCGAGTTTTTTTTTTTCAGCTCTAGGATTTCATCTTCAGCTTTAACTTTCAAACATCAGAAGGTAAGTTTCAAAAATCTAAACTAAGTGTCAGACGGAAACAGGAACATTACATGCAATCTGTGAATGTTAACTGGTTAAATCATTTGGGGAAAAAGTTGTGGATCACATAGGGAAGTGGTCGGGTACGACGGTACCTAAATCACCAAAGTTATGCCTTACGGCGGACCAAACAGAGTTACCTAATGTATCAAAACATGACCTTGTAGGGGTCGTCACAGCTGCGCGAGTGATCCTCAAATTCTGGAAGAGTACATCACCTCCAGATTTTGAAAAATGGAAGGAATCTATGTTTGGAATTGTGTCATAGGAACACATCTTAGCTAGGGTCAGCAGTGAAGAGGTCATAGGCAGGCTTTTTTGTGTGCAATATGTCTGTTGAACTGTAACAATGTGGCGTTCAGTTGTACTGCTGCTTCGCTAAATTACTATTATGGGTATAAGAATGTGTAGATGGATGGGATGGAAACTGTATATGTTGCATTTATTTTGGTTCTGTCCTCATGTGGCAACTTTTAGGATGACTACCAAAAGATGGCTTGCATCAAGTTCTATATTTTTCACCATGTGCCCCAAAACAATAATGTTCGGTGAATTAAAAAAATGCTTATCCTCGCATTTTAAATACTATTAAATTACTAGGAAAAAGATTTATTTTTGAATCGAAAGGAAAAGAGCGAATGACATTTCCCTGTTTTCTTTCCTTTTCAAAACATTTCTTTATGTTAGAAGGCATTATTGCTGCAAGTGAATGACTATAAAAAAATTGAGTAGATTAAGGCCAAGTTTAGAAGACGGATGATAATGACATCATTATTTAGTTTTCTGTCATTAGTTTTGTTAAGTTAATTTTTTGTATGTCTGTGATTGTTTTCCCCTTTCCTTTTCCCTTTAATACCGTATGTCTATGTCATTTCTTTTGTTTAAATACATTTAAAAAATAAAATTAAAAACAGAATGTGTAGCTGGTGCCTGTGGATATATTTGACTGAATAGATAAATAAAAAATATACATTAAAAAAAATCTAAACTAAGTTATGATGGGAGGAGGGTCATGCATTTTTGGCCAGTCACTCAGGTAGGCTCAAGGAAAAATATTTGTACCTTCAGGGAGGGTAATAAATAAATCAAGACAAACAAACATAATTATAGCCACACCTCAGTCCCCCCTGTACCTCTGATCAGTAAAGAACAGTCCCTTACCATAAGTTATTAGATCAAAAATCCACTCAGTAAGTTATATGATTTATAATTAGCTCATAAAAGTACTTTTAACAACCCCTAAAGTAGTTGTAATTTGTTAAACCATTTGTTAGCCACCTAAATGAACTGTAATCTGAGTTTCTGTGGGTTGGCTCACCTCCTCCACTCTGATCCCTGCCTATAATTAGCCACATTCACACATCTAAAGGACTAAAATAGAAAATATTCTCATATATTAGTCAGAGTTATGTAGTTTAATAACCAGCAGCTGCTAGCTTGGTTAAATTAATGTGACGTTAAACGTATTTCAACGAGTCACCGGAGGAATTAGTCTTTCCTATTGTGAGGAAATAAATACGTTTCGCGTTACTTCACAAAAGAGCAATGAAACAGCACATTTAAACACAGCAGTAAGAACAGATATACATTTAGAAACACGGTGTTTAACTGTGTTTAAGTGGACCTGTATTAGCTACAACAGCGGACCTAGCTTAGCCTCGAACCGCTAACTGCGTAGCTTAACGGTAATTAGCCGTCCCGTAGCAGACTGCGTGTACTCACCACTTCAAAGATAGTCAGCGGAACGGCTTCAGGTTATAAACGGTTATTCCTTTACAGTCCAATACTCTGGAGACAAGTTATATTCACATACAGACTCTCAGGGGCAGCTCTGTGTCTCTCCCGGGTCCTCACAGGACCGTCTCCAGCCGCAGCAGGGAGTTTTGTCCAGGCACAGTCGGGACACTTGTGGCCATTGCTGTGAGACTGCTGGTGTTTTGAGCCGTCTCCATGGCAACACTGCGGCTCCACAGCGCCCCCACCCTGTCACACACGTCATGACCACGACCCCCAAATAATACTAGTTAAAAATTAAAATACCACAATATAAAAATACAGTGTAAAAGTCCTGCATTTAAAATCTAAATTAAGTAGAATTACAAAATATAATTGGCACTGGTTGGCACTTGGACTCTAAATAAACTGGGTTTATTACTCATTTATTTATTTGGGTGGTAAATAGACTGGGGATAGTTGTTTATTAGTTGTAAAGAAATTTGGGAATCTTTTAAAAATAATATAGGAGTTAAAAGACGAAATGTAAGACAGGGCTTTAACTTCTACCAACTCATTTTCAGTCTTTTTTTTTTTAATTATTTTTGGCTCGGAATAAAGTCATTCATGCATTCAAAGTCACCTATACATTATATAATAGCCCATTTCAGAATAATATTTATTATTGGACGATGGTTACTAGTGCATTAATGTGTAAGCAACACTTTAATGTACAATGACAGTTGTTGTAATTACTTTATATACTGCCAGGTATCTTAGTCTTTAATAATGCAGCATATTTATTTATTTATTTGGATTATTATTCTTTTTTTTTTTTTTTAAATAATAATACATTTTATTTATAGGCGTCTTTCAGGACACTCAAGGTCACCTTACAGGCAGAAATAGAGAAAATAACAACATATTTAATAAAATCAACAAGATGACGGATAAAGTAACATAAAATAAATAACTACATAGTGGACATAAAGCACCCGGGACCATTCAAAGAAAATAACAAAGGGAAAGGGACAGGGGTTTCGTGACCAGAACTGCAGACCAAAGCTGTCAGTTGGTAGCAATAATGATAAAAGAGGAGGTTGTCGCTTTAGCCAGGATGGTCAATGATGTGAACAAAAGATAAACAAAACAAATAAACAAAAAAGAACAGAGGGAAACACACATGGAAGGGAACCTATCAGAATATCAGTGTACAGTATAAGGCAGAGTTTGCACAGAATAAAAATGGAGCATAGCAGCAAAACTCATGAGTTATACAGTTGGGTTTCATCAAGCAGGATCAAAAACAGCTTCCACACCTTCAGAAAATCATTTTGTGAATCCTTTTTACTTAAGCTACTCTGTTCCATTTTAGCCTGCTTTTGATAGAAGGGAAGGGCCCTTGTCCTTTCAGAGCAACCAAATATTGCCAAAGTACCAATGTGGCTGAATGTTAGTTTTCAGCATGTTCATTTTTTGTTTGATTATATTATATATGAATAATCTGAACCTGCAAAGTAACTAGTAACCTAGGCTGTCACTAAGTGGAGTATAAAGTACAGTATTTGCCAAATGGTTATAACTAGTTGTGGATTGTTTTGGCTGCTCTCAGTGTCATCTAGAACATCTGTCACCATTCATTGTCTATGCAGCAGCTCCAGACTCTTTTTTGTAACTCTTTTTTTTAATTTAAGATACAAAGAACATGAGGTCATCATGGGTGTTACAAAGTCAAATCACAGTACATGTTTCACTTACATCCTGGCACACACTGTCACAGTTTTCTCAATGGTGTTTATACACAATCAATTTCTCCCAATATTTTCTACATTTTTCTGGCTCAAGCCTTAAAATAAAAGTAAGTCTTTAAATACAGTATATTTCATCTATAATCCCCAGCCACTGGGCCAGTGTTAGAGGATCAAATTGGAACCATTTGGGAGTTATGGCTTTCCTGCTACTTGCCAAAACTATCTTTGATAAACATTTATCTTTGTGTGAGACAGTGTGAGGAATTTTTTTTAAGTATAATGTAGGAAATGACTCTAGCACTGTAGTTTTGGGATTTAGGAGAGAGTTGTTCGTGTTTACTTATAATTTAGGGCTGTCTTACACCATAGAAATAACATGTATGAATTGTAAAATTGGGTGAAGTTTCTTTCTAAGTAAGAAAAGTACATCTTACGTAAGTACTGACTGAAGTAAAAGCAGGCTACGGAAGTATTATCAAGAAAATGTACGTAAACTCTTAAAAGTAAATCTACTCATTATGCAGTTAATTGTTGTTCTTTTATCAAATTAAACCCACAGAACTTCCCAAAGATTACAAAGATACCTTCCAAATATGTCAAGCTGAATTTTGGGCAAATAATAATAATACAAAATAATTTAAAAAAAAGTGACAGAACAGTCGGCTACTGCCACCACAACCACAGACTTTTCTGTTTAAATATTAATTTTGTGAAATATCATTCAGCTTCAAAGACGACCTGGAACAGAACAGGCTCACACAGAACTTAAAGTGTATGAATATACGCAATAACTGACTTTTTTGGGGCCAGTTTGGGGCAGCAGAATGAGTTGTTAAAACAGCATCGACAAATTATACATCAAATTTCAAGGTGATACGACAAATTTTCTAGAAAACAGTTTCTTATTTAAACATCAAGCAGATATGGAGCAATGTCACCATTTATATGGAGTCCTGTTTCTGGCCGCCTGGTGAATATAAGTCCAATATTGACACTCTTTAGCTCTGTTTTTGGTCTCCACCAACTCCTGAATGGTTCCCATAAACGAAGCAAAGAACAAAATAAAGTACAGTATTTCCTTCTGAAATGCAGTGGAGTAAAAAGCCTCAGCCTATTCCTATTTCGGTTATCAAGTGTGAGAAAAGTTGTGTTAAATAATTTTTATTTTTATAGATGTATGTAACTGAAATGAAAATCATTCATTCAAAATTTCTAACATAGGCTAACAATGAGTACTGCTAGGAGTAAGTGCTTTTCTGTACAAATGATTGCACACATAATGCAGATTAAAGTCAAACTCTTCAATTAATGAATATTCAGTACCTGTATAATGTGTGTATACTGTACTGAAAAAATGCCATCTGCTTTTTTCATCCCAATGGCCTCAGAAGATGAAGTGTCTTTTCAAGTTGCTGAAAATTAGAAGCTCATGGAGCAGCTCAGAGATAACATACTTAATAAATCTCGTTACGTTGTCAGTGTATCCTCTAATAAATAAACACTTACTGCACCTGAGGGTCTGATGAATTCTGCCATTATATTCTACAATCATCTTCACGCTGATCGCCTTACACTCCACCCATTCTCGCAGATGAATTTAACTAAGTTCTTGTCACAGGCCTATTAATCATCACCAACTAATGGGATCTGCTGTCATTTCACCTCGCAGAGCAGAACAGAAACTGTCTAATCTCATGCAGCCTCAGAAATATCTACACCAAAGCCTGAAGCTGCCTTTTTCCTGCTGTATTTTCTATTAGGTTAATCCTTTCTGACACCTCTGTACTTAACCTCTTTTCTTCATTAGGCTCTCCGCTGCCAGTCCCCGATTCTTAAATACTTACCTCCCTGGAAAGACAGACAGTTAAAACCCATTTTGCTTTGCAGTGCTTTGCTCCCGTACAGCTGTTTCTATCTGAGAAACAGTGGTTATTAAAAGCATTACTGCATCAGCTAAATATACCAAAAACATCAAGTTAAAGCACTACAGGAAAAATGGTCCCTGTGACTGATATTTTATTACATTGTTGATACTGAATTAATGTGTAAGTGGTATTTTATGGTCCAGTGGTTCTCAATCTAGGGGTCGGGCCCCCTTCAAAGGGTCACAAAATAAATCTGAGGGGTCACGAGAAGAGTAATAGGAGAACAGAGAAAAATAATTAGTTCTGCAACAAATTTATCTTCATTTTTGGACTTTTTGCTTTTTTTAAAACAAAGAATTGGATCATTTTGACCTCTTTCGGGCTCAAACATTTATTGACGTGAAACCATGTGAGGAGTTTAGAGGGGAAGGTGGAGCTGCCAGCAACTCGTAGACAGAATAATCTGAAACATGACAAGGGTCCAAACTAGACACTGCTTTATTGTGAGAAGTCACGGGACGAAAATGTTTGGGAAACACTGGTTTCAAGTGGTTTCTCACCAGTGTGATGCAGAATGCGTTGCAAGAATATTGAAAATCTGTAAGCTAATTTGCTAGATGACATTAATGCACAACAGATTTGGTGTTAATTGTCCATGTTGCCTTGTTCCATTTTTGTAAAAACAATAACTTGTGCTGGTGTCCACTCCACACAACAAAAGCCTACCCCTACAGAGAACGTCTGAGGGGGCTGGCGTTGACTACACAATACATATTTGATGCTAATGCTAGCTATTGGCTAGCCCTGTTCTATGACCAGCATGTTACGTTAGCAGCTGCTGAGCAGTCTCAAGCCATATATTGTCCATTTTTAGGCTGTTGGGGTTGTTGTCATGGGTGTTGAAAAACCAAATTGATAAGGCATTCCTCCTTTTCGGCAGCAAGCTAGCTGGAAGTGTGGCATGAGTTGGAACAAAGGATTTAATTGGTCAAACATGTATTTCTGCAGGCGGAAATCTGCTGCAATCGGGACCATCCATCCATTATCTTTAACTGCTTATCCTGTGAGGGGTCACAAAGGGGGCTGGAGCCTATTCCAGCTGGCATTTGCCAAGAGGCGGGGAACACCCTGGACAAGTCACCAGACTATCACAGGGCTGACACATAGAGACACACAACCATTCACACTCACATTCACACCTACGGACAATTTAGAGTCACCAATTAACCTGCATGTCTTTGGACTGTGGGAGGAAGCCGGAGTACCCAGAGAAAACCAAAACAGACATGGGGAGAACATGCAAACTCTGCAAAGAAGAACTACCAAAAACATGTAGTGGAGCAAAAGTACAATATTTCCTTTCCAAATGTAGAAAACTAGACATACAGTACAGGCCAAAAGTTTGGACACACCTTCTCATTCAATGCGTTTTCTTTATTTTCATGACTATTTACATTGTAGATTCTCACTGAAGGCATCAAAACTATGAATGAACACATGTGGAGTTATGTACTTAACAAAAAAAGGTGAAATAACTGAAAACATGTTTTATATTCTAGTTTCTTCAAAATAGCCACCCTTTGCTCTGATTACT